GATTATCCGCGCGGAAACCGCGCTCGCCGCCGACCGACCGACCGATGACGGTATCATTTTCATTGAAGCAAAGCTCGTTAAATTGATCGGATCATTTGGTGAACAAAATTTCGGTAGCAAGAAATAATTTTTCTCTCTTTGAATTTCGTTGTTAGCGACATTGATGTTACGCTATAGCGTTCGTTACGTTGCTCAATGCCTCACTCACATCTTCATTTACTCGGATGTATCCCGCGCGGATAATGGCTAACAGCTATGCACCATTATCTGCCTGCGCGGATAATGGACGTCTCATATTGTGCCTCGGAATAATCGGAAGCTACGGTATCTCATCTCTCTGCCGCCATGCTCCTTTCATAGGTAAGATTCTAGACAGGCAGATATCGTTAACGCAGAACCGGAATACTGCTAAGGCGCCGTCCCGGCGGAGTGACGTAACGACGCGGCTGACGTTCGATCCGTCCGGGCGCAGACGTCGTCGTCACCGCAACAAGTTGCTCGACAAACTCGGGTCTGGAACCCGAGGGGTTCCCTCGAGAGGCTGGCTGGAGTCCCACCCCGCGAGCACCAGGAGTACCGTGCACGTATATGTATCGAATGCGAATACACGGCCACGGGGCGCCATGCCGATGCCGTGTCGCTCGGTTCACGCGGAGGTGACGGTGGTGGTGCACCACGTCGGTAGCGACCCGACGCCGACGATCGGGGTCTTGATTTATGGCTGGGTAGCGCGTGTTCAAACGTCGGAAACAAGGACACTATGGATTTTCGCGTATATGCGTTAACGATTCGAAATAGCCGGCTACCGGTGGACGGCTATCCACGGCCCGGCGCTATTTTACCTTCGTCGCTATCGGGTGATCTCCGTATATCACCCCGGAACGATCGCAACAATTATTCGACCGACGCGACGGTATAGGAAACGCTCCCAGCACTAGTCGTTATCAGGTAACGTTCAGGTAAGATTGATCAAGCTAATTATGGGATGAACGCGAATAATCTCTTGCAATAATAAACCTAACGGATGTTGCAGATAAGCGAGGACGATTGAATGCGCTGTCTTGAATGTATTGAGTTTTTCAAGATAAATGAAATTCTCCTCCATATTCCTTGTAGCAATATAACACAGCACAGTTACTCTCTAGCGATAGAATAACATACATATATTGCGCTCGTCACAATCCAATTTTCAGAGAGCAAATTATTCAAGCACCTGCGAGAGCAAATTGCTACGAGACACGGATAGGTTTCGTTTTAATGTTTTGTTTGACGCATTGTTCGCGCGATTAAATGGGTCAATTAGTTACGTATGCTCGCAGGTTTCACGTATCTAGCTGGACGTACACTCATTATTATCGCTGTGCCCGTAATAACATTTCGCGGCGTTATTGACCTACCAATTATCCCAGTCCTGCTTCACGACGGATATTATCATGTTACGAAGATGAAATATGTATCATCATAAATTTTATCAGATAACGAGGCTTTTTAAACAGTATGTTCAGGATAGCACATATATAGTGCATGATAAAAATAGTAATTTATCTACGGTTTGTATAAAACCGCAATGAGGTAAAACGCTGTTGCATTGGAACAATAAAATAATAATCCTTAAGCCACCGTAATAAGCTCTTCCTGACACATACGAATACAGTTAATTATTCTTATCGTGGAGTACGAATAAAAGAAATGCGGAAATATAATAGTAGGTAATCTTTATATATATTGCATGCTTTATAAACGATATTAAAGACTCGAAAGTGACTTTTCATTTTTTAAGAAACATGAAAAGCGTTATTAAACTTCTTTTTCAATTGCACGCGTTTAGTTTCCCGAGGAGTGAAAATCGTTGATACAAAACCAGCATTTTCTATGCGGCTCGGCTCGATGTACGACCGAGAGAGCGACATCGGAAGAGAGGAAACCGGCGAGTCGTCGTACAGCGAAAAGATAACAAAAAAAAAGGAAAAAAAAATCTCGCCGCTCGTTTCACAAAACGGATATACTCCGATAAAGAGCAGTAAACGTGATTGCAGGTTATCCGTAATCAGGTGGAATATACTTTGTAATTGCGCTTCCTTTGCGGAATAATCGCACGATGAAGATACAAACGCAGATACATTTCCGATAAGCCTGCGGAAAACGACTCGGCGGTTTTCCGTTTGGATTATTTCACTCTTCTTGTCAGGCTGACCACTATTGTTTTTGCTCGCCAGCCCGTATTACGTTTATGATATTGACTTACCGTGCCGCAGTGCAGTCCAGCGTTGTGTGTGTGTATATGTGTGTGCGTGTGTGTTACGCGCCGCGTATTTATTTTGCGTACCGCCCGAGCTTCATCGCGTCTTTCATACGACGTACAATATTGTAACGGCAGAAGAGACTCAACTTTGCGGCGCGGCGAGAATAATTTACGATACTCCTTCGGCACCACGGAAGATGTGCCAACGAGCTTTTGTTTCGTAAGATGAAAGTGTACACGTATTTTCAATTAAATCCTCGATTCTCCTCCTCCCCCGGCTTATAGATTACTATCTCTTTATTTCACAGCAGCGTCCATCGAGATAAATTAGTAAGATAAATTAATATAGTTAATAAGCGCGCAGTTCCACGACAGTGCACATCTGATTTTCCGCGATCCGATCTCTGTTTAATTTTTAACTTGCATTTTCGCTGACACTGATCTGTGAAATCTAACAGTATACTTTATATTCTTTTATACTTCTACAAATGATGAAGGTAAATTTTATTTACCTTTTTAAATTAAATAGTAAGATTAGTTTTGACGTCTGAAAGATTTTTGAGAAGCTACATGTTTCTACAATAATAAATAAAGTAACGGTAAAGTATATAAAAATGATCGGTAATAAATTGTATTGTTCCGAAATTAATCAATAATAATTATTAATTGGATTATTTACAACAGAAATTAACGGATAACAAGCGTGTAAACATTTTGCCCATATAGTATAATCGATTAGCACCGGAACTGCACAACGCCAACGGTTGAAATATGCTCGACAAATGTTTATACAAATGTCTAAAATGCCCGAAATATCTGCATAAAATTACTCACGAAATGCTAATGTAATATCGTGAAATAGCTTCATTCAAAAATCCCTCGCCGGGAATTACAGAATTAGCTAGAGAGTTTCTCTTTACAGTAATTAAATCTTGTTCACACAGGATGTTTCAGAATCCCGTCTCGTATATTTTTAATTTTTACTTATAGATTCTTCGATAAATTTGCATTTCTTGCTGCCCGTTTTTCCCCCGAACAATATTTCCGAGAAAATCACCGTACTTGGCCAAAACTGTATAACATTTAACGCTAACTATCCTTATGATTAAACGTTGAATCCAAACTTCAGAAAAGTAAAGTCAATTTAGATGAATAATGAAGTTTCGTTATATTTAATTTAACGTTTTCAGAAGTTTCATTCGCATCATCAAACAATCGTTTATGTTTTAGAACTCTATTACGGATTGCTTCGACATTTCAATTAAGGCACTATCAATTCTTAACAAAGAAATAAAGTTATTAAAACTCAGATAATTTCAACTTATTAAATGATTCTTTCCGTTTGTAGCCGCACAATTTTTCCTATATATAATTCTCCCATAAAAATTCATATAAAAACAACTCGCAAATACGTTACGTCGAAAATAAAGTCTCAGAATTCTAGCCGTGAATAAAAGTATATATTGTTATTTCGTGTAAAATTAAAAATCGATGGATATCAGCTGAATAGTCCGCAAAACGTTGATAAAAAAAATTCACGAAAAAAGCTGATAAAAGAAAATTAATGTTTTATATTGTATTGTTATAATGATAGTATTTTGTCCATAACGTGTAAATGTTTAATTATACTATTTTAATGTTGCGCTCAATGCTGAAACCTCTTCATACATAAGGCCGCACTTATCAATGACTGACAAGCCATATTCAGCGCGCGCGCGTGTGTTTTACCTATGATACGATATATTTAGAATTTAAAATTCTATAAGATACGCGCGCGCGTTAGAATTTAAAATGCCGAGATACAAACGTTAGAATTTCAAATCGCAGCGTCGACGATGTACTTTCCGGTGTTGAATATACGTAAAAATTGCGTCAAATATATAAAATGTATAAACGAGAACAGCAATTTGGAATGTTTATCTACGAATGCATCAAGTACAAAATATACATTTACAAAAATACATCCTTGAAATTGTCGGTCGTCACTCGCGAATATGCGTTTGTCGGCCCCGTCGAGGCCGTCGGTCCAGGAAGTCGCGACTCGCCGCGTGAGTTCGTCCACTCCGGAAAGACGCGACGCCATCTGACGCTTTCTCCGGATCGCGCGTCCTCTTCGCCACCGCGCGAAAAGAATGCCTATTTACGTAACGCGAACGGTCGTGCGTCGTGCGTCGTGCGTCGCGTCGAGACGCCAGGATGCGGCGCGAGTTTTTGTCGTCGGACAAAAATAAAACGGCGCGCGCGATCTTTTCGCGTGACACGTCCCGCGAGACGCGCCGCGCCATTCAGCGAACGGATCCTATATTTCCACGCATGGCACGGTCATCGACGCATCAGGTGTCAGTCACCCCGGAGTCGCGGAGTCGCGAGAACGCGAAAGTCTCGTATGCGCGCGGCTGCCGGCTGGTTTGACGCACGCACGCACGCACGCACGCACCGTCTCTGTGAGGACGAAAATTGCGACGTAATACAACTGATCGCGCCACGAAATCGCGACTCGCGAGCGGAGCGTCGTGCGATCGTACATGCCGTTTCGCGAGCGTCATGTACACATTGTACATCATACATATAAATAGGACGATTCCCCGCGAACGTCGCGAGAAACTTACCGGGGAAAGTATAGACGTGAAAAACTTTCCGTAGCGGCGAGAATCTCGGAGTAGTCTCGGAGTCGGCGAATCGCGCCAACTGCAGCGGACGAAGAATCTCGCGGTCACGCTCGCGAGAGAAGAAGGGCGAAACGAAGATCGCTACTTACCCGGCGTACCGTTGACCGTGGCAATTCCAGCCGTGACCCGTCGTGACCGCCGCGGCCGTGTCAGCCTCGTCGTAGTCGTGGTAGTCGTGGTCCTCGTCCCGCGTGTCGCGCGCGCCTTTCACCAGTTTCGCAATCGACGCAGAAGATGCGGCGTCCTCGCGGATCTCCTCGTTCCTCGTCGCGGCGCCGGCTTTGCTTTTTATTTTCTCGGATCACACGCGACGCGCGTCGACCGTCGTGAGACGGTCGACGGACCCCGCCGAGAAACGCACGAGCTTACGCGGACACGCACGAGCGCGAGGACTGCGAGGCGAGGGCGGAAGGAACCATTCCGAACTCCGAACTCCGTACGCTCCAATCGGTCAGCTGCTACTGGCCGCGCCGCCAGACGGCCCGACCGACGACGACGACCGATAGCGAGACGGGAAAAGGGCGGGCGGGGGCGCGAGTCGCGCGCCGCTTCGCAGCGCCGCGCGAAAGCTCCGCCGTGCCCCGTTCTGCCCGCGCCAACGGATGGCGCTGCGAGCGTTGCACACCCGCGATTCACGATTCACGATTATCTCCGGCAGAGAGAAGCCTGAGAGCCAATTTCACCAACCACGGTTGGCTTAACCGACGATTAAAGTTAGCAGGGTGGATTTATTTCTATTGGTCAATCCTGCTAACTTTAACCGTCGGTTAAGCTAACCGTGGCTGGTGAAATTGGCCCAGAGAGAGCCCATCCCGGCTCGTGAGACTGTCGAAAGCCCCTGATGTACACTACCGCCAGTACATCCATTTTCGAAATTAGTACTACGTAGCCACTTCATTTTCCGACACTGCCGATAAAACATAATTTTGTTGTGTATTATATGTAAAATATATTTATATTATATGTAAATATCTAATAGCCCTCTCTCCCTCTCTTACTTTTTTTCTTTCACTTTCACACTTCCCAGACAACACAAAGTCCAAAATCGGGACATAAGACGTATTTTAGCCAAAAGACATCTTTTAGACGCCTTATGTCCCGCTATTGGACATGCGCGCTGTCTGAGTTGTTTCAAATAAAAGATATGTATCTCCTATCAGTTTAAAATTCCGAATACGAGACAATAGGCCTTTATGGAAAATATCGTTAGCAAAACGAATAATATTTGGGGAACAAGCAACAGAGAATGTTTTATAATTTTTAAATATCTTGACGACGACGGTTTATCGTCTGTTATGATATGCGCAATCACCGCGCTGCAAGAACAATCGCAACGAAATTTTTACAAACGATACAATTTCATGTTAATTTTCTATAAAACATAATAAATGATCAGTCTAATATATTGAATTTCTCTATTTACGACTTAACACGTATTAACTCATTATTTCTAATACATGTATTTATAAATATACATGTTTTGAATTTTTTTTTTTTTTTCTTGTTTAATTGTTTCAAATTTTCAAGTTATTTATTGATATTAATTTCATACGTTCTATGCACGTATTCTTTAAGCTTGCAGCTAAAATACGACGATATTTGGCAATATTTCTCTCGACTTTTCCACTAATTTACTGCGATATTTGTGACGGAAATCACAAATACCTACACTTATATCAAGAATCACCAGATTCTTGCAAAAATTAAACATTACAAAATATTTAGCATTTTTTATTGTAAAGATTATAAAACATCGCGTATAATTTAGGCTCAGCAGAATCGGTTTTTCGGTTCGAGAAAATTTTCAAATTATATTTAGAAACAGAATCGACATTGTCGAACACAATTTCAATATTAAGAAAGGGAAAAAATGTAAACAGTGTGTGTACGTATCTTATCCCAAACGTTGCCGTACATCATTTCGACTGTTAGCTCAGTCGAGGAACGTATAGTGATTGGGATCAAACATTCAACGACACAAGTACCACGGCGAGTGTAGCAGATATAGAAAAGCGAAAAGATGTCTGAAATGGCTATAAGAGCACAATTTGTAATTTGTACGTATCATAATATGTATTCTTCATGTATTATATCCTTGTAAATATTGCACAAATAATATAACAAAATCCGTTTCTTAAATACACGATTATAATCAGAAATGCTTTATATAAAACATTTAAATTTAATTGAACTATTATATCCTAATAAAGGTAATAATAAATAAGTATACAGTATAATATCGAAAAGCATCCTCACGCGTATATTTTTATTATAAAGTCACGTTTAACAGCTATTCGTAAATATTGGAAAAAAAGAGCAAATTATAATAAAATATACACGTATATTTACGTGTATATTTTACATTTTAAACGTATTATTACATTTTTAAAAGTCTAATAATTCTATCGTGTTCATTTAGTACATCAATCAGGTACGATTGATTCGGAAGAAAGTGAAGATCTTTTAGACCCACGCTTCAATGTAAAATATGAAGAGTTTTTCCAGATAATAGCAGATACACCCAACGTAGAAGTGGTTGATATCACAGTTGTGAGACCAGTTAAAATTATTATAACGGTAAATATACATACAATAAATATATATCACAAATATTTATATTATTAGTCTTTAATTTTCCTTTATTAATATGACGTAGAAAAAATTACTTTCAACGTGTACAAATAACAAAGCTGATATTATTTTCATCATTGGTGACGTTGAATCCACTGAGAAACGATATGCGAATAAAGCGATTGAAACTGTTACTGTTGATCGCAAAAAACTATCTACAGATTTGATAAATTTGATGACAAACATGGAAAAAAAACTGAAGGAGATTACGCATTATAAGTAAACTTTTATTTTTATTTACGTTGTAATCTTTAATTTTGTAACTCTTACAATTTATTTATTCTCACAACTAGATATGGAATACGCAACAAAACGTTATTCATTAATTTGTCTGGCTTAAACAACGATAAAAGAGAGTGCTTTACAGCAATTTTAGATATGCTGCCGAATATGACGCATTTGATACATGAAAACGAAACTCAACGTCCTTCATTATCTGACATTGCATGCTCTTTCAATGATGAATTTCCAAAACAGGTAAAATACTTTTATCGATTAGAACGTTCTGAAGAAGACCATGGTCGAAATGTAAATGTTATATATATATATATACATATTTTTATTAAATTTTAATTTTAAATTAACATATAAAATTTTTTTGCTCGAATTTTGGCCGTTCAACTTTTTTTAGCTTTGCTATTATCGAGCGTATGTATCTTGTTTTTATTAAGTAAAATACTGTTGAAATTGTAAAATACTGTTAGAAAAACTTTTGTTAAAATTGATAATTTGTAACAAATTTATAAGATAATATAGACTACGAAATTTATTTGCATAGGGAAAAGATAAGGATGCAAATGAAAATCTTGAGACATCCTCTGTTTCGCTTACATCTTCGCAATCATCACTTACAGAAGTAAAACACTCTAATAATGATTTTATAACATTATATAAATATGCATACATATACAAAATTAAATATACTTACAGAATATGAACCATAATCCAAACAATTGCCATAAGGAATTGTTTCGCACAATTCCTTTAGAAGAAGCATTGGACATATTGAATCAGATAGCACAAGCAGGGATGGATAAAATAAATCATGAATCGGTAAAGATAAAGGATGCTTATGGCAGAGTACTATGTGAAAACGTACATCTGAATTGTTGCGTGCCACCATTTAGAACTTCCTATAAGCATGGATACGCAGTGTCGGTAAAAGATGGAAAAGGATTGAGAAGAGTGCAGGAAGGAGAAAATAGAGTAAGTTGAATCAGACGCACATACATATATATATAAAATATGTAACAACCTACAATTATTAAAATTAATTAGAATTAAACGAAACTTTTTCAGTTTCCTCCGCTTCCGCTTCAACCTGGAACATGCGTATGGGTGAATAATGGAGCGCCTATTCCCAATGGTAAGTGATTATACATTAAGCTGATCTATTTATAGTAAAGAAATTAACTGCCGTATCCGATTATAGGAGCAACCGCAGTTGTTCCAGAGAAGGATACAAAACCATTAAAAAAATCCCCGAACAACGACAGCAAGTATATTGAAATATTGATTGAACCAAACTGCGGACAAAACATTAAGTACAAACTTAATAATTTCCATACGATAAAAATTCTATTTCTATTTACCAAAACAGTTAATTTATTTGTCTGTATATCTATTTTAAAGACCCATAGGTTTCGACATATGTTCCAAAAAAAATAATATTATTCTAAAGAAATTTACACGTATTGGCCCAGAAGAAATAGGACTTTTGACAGCTTGCGGCTGTAAAAACGTTACAGTCGCTAAACAGTTGTCTATGGGTGTATTGTCCATCGGCGATAATTTAGAAGAACCTGGAGAACCTTTAAAACCAGGATTTGTCTATGACATTAACAGAATAACTTTAATCTCACTACTAAAGCATAATAGCTACTCTCCTTTGGATTTCGGAATTGTAAATAATAAGTGAGGGCGTTTAAAAATTATTCTAGCTTCAAATACACAAGCTATTATATATTGCTATATAATATTCTATATACTTAAAATTATTATTAATTTTGTTACTTTATAATTAATTATAAATACTTAATACGTAGTGATTTATTTTTTCTAGATGTTCGTCTATTCGGGAGAAAATCGAGAAAGCTTTAGAAAGAGTAGATATACTTGTGACGACAGGCTCTATTAATGACAAAGATTTATTGAAGATCATTTTAACGAAATATTTGAAAGCCGAAATACATTTCGGTACCATTTATTTTTCTCATTATAATTACTTTAATTACCAATTTATCAAAAAGAAAACATGCATACCTATAAATACATTCAATACATTGTATATCATTGTATATATAAAAACATGGTATAATTGTACACGCTCTTTTAGGTAATGTAGATATAAAACCAGGAAAGTCAACGGCACTAGCAAGTTGCATGTTCAATGACGAGACAAAGTATTTCTTATGTTTGTCAGGAAATCCGACATCCGCTTTCATTGCCGCGCATATGTTCCTTTTGCCTTTTGTGAACCATTTGCATTGCGATTTATCTGCAGGACCTGTTGCAATATCAGTTCAAGTAAGATTGTTCTTATACATATTGCGTAATAGTAAAATATACCTCCTATTGTTACGTTGCTATAAAATTGTAGACAAACCCGAGAAACGCTTTGTTTCTTTTACATCATCGTCGTAGATTAGCGTGGGCAGATTTAGAGTTCGATGATACAAAAAAAATCACAAAAGCTTCCGGGATGGATAGTTTCTCCAAGGATAAACTATGTAATATGGTATGTTCAAACGCACTTTTACTATTACCAAAGAGAAAGCAAGGTGAAAAGCTACTACCTGAAACCAATAATACTACGGCATTACTTATCGACTATCCCAGAAAGTTAATAAAACTATTACCTTATCGTCTAAGACCTAATTCGGCTCTAAAAAAAGTACAACATAAATACAAAATCTAATAATGCTTCATTAATTATTTTTACTTTTAAGTTTAAAGTCGTAAAAATCTCATCATCTTACATGATTGCAAGAATAAATATTCTAAATTTCAAGTAATTTCAAAAATATTGTATGATCAATGTTTTCATCAATTTTGATTTTATCGCTTTTTATATAGTTTTTAATTATACTATACGTAGATTGTAACTAGATAATTTGCGTTTGCACATTATATCAGAATTGATGGATAATACTTTTGAAAATGCTTCTATAAATTTAGAATGTAATAATAGATTTTCGCAATTTTCATGTATCATAAGTCCTCATATAATCTTTCTAAAAAATGCTCAAATTTTAATTTGTTATAATATAACAAATATCTGATGTAGTGTATATGTGTATTTTCACAAACAACTGTTTTACTAAAAATAAATGACAGAATTTTTATTATTTAATTAAATAATAATTATTAATATTTATTTAAATAATAAGCGTTTTGTTTTATTTCAAATAATTATCTATTATTTGATTAATTTACAATTAAACAACTTATAATTTCCAATAACTGATGGTTAACTAGACATGTATACAAATGTTATAATTTTAATTGTAACGCATTTGAGCATTATTTTAGTTACATATGACAACAGTTATTTTTATTTTATTTTATTTAAATATACATTTATTACTTTATTCTTATATCTGCATTCTCTTTCTTTTATATATAAAAAATGTATTTGTTATGTTGTAATATATATAATATGTCACATATATTGTATATATGTATTACATATGTTAAATATACACATATATACAATTTATGACACATTGTTCGTATATACTATGTATTATTATTATATTATTGTATTATAATGTATGTATAATATAGTAATGCATTATTAATGTATTAAAAATATAATAAATATGTTAAAACCACAAGAACATATCTGAAATTTTGTTGCTTTGAGTTTTCTTCTCAAATGTAATAATAGTTGCACTTTTAATTAAATTTGTCTTAATATGTTTATATATATATATATATAAAGTTGTCATAGGTATTCAAATTTAAAAGTTAGAACAAAATTATCATTTTTTATTCTAAGGATTTTAAAAGATCTTAAGATATCGCGTATAATTTACGTTCGGCAAAATTGGTTTTCCAATTCAAAGAGAATCTCACTAACAATAAAGTTAAATTTAAAAACAAAATCGACATTGTCGAACACAAAGTCAATATTGAGAAAAGACAAAAGTGTAAACAGTATACCTCATCGCAAAATGTTCCCGTACATCCATTCGACTATTAGATAACATTACCTCAGCCAACAAACAACAATTGATATCAGACATACTGAAGAAACGACACAAGAGTAGCACGGCAAATATCAGCAAGCACGGAAAGATGTCAGAAAAGGCTAAAATGACAATAAGAGTTAAAATTATAATTCGTATGTATCGTAATATAATATGTATTCTTCATGTATTATGTCCTTGTAAATATTTCACAAATATAATAATATGATAAAGTCCAGTTTTAAGTACCTTAATATAATCAGAAATGTTTCAGTAAAAACATATAAAATTAGTTAAAACATTATGTTTATACATTAGAAATATAATAAAATACCTTATTTAAAATGTATAATAATAAATAAACCTATGCAGTACAAAAGTAAACTATAACAAAACACACACACACACACACACACACACATACATATCTTTAAACGTAATGGCGTTATTATATTTTTAAAAGTCTAATAATTTTATCACGTTTATTTAGAATGTAAACCAGATACATTTGACTTAGACCAGAATGCAGATTCTTTAAACGAACCATCATTTGAAAATTTTAAAGCAAAATATGAAAAGTTTCTGGAGATGGTAACATATATACCTAACACAGAAATAGTCGATATTATTATCATAAGCCCAGTTAAAATTATCATAATGGTAATAATTGTGCGCAGAGTGAATACGTAAAATAAATGTTTGTATTATTCTTTAATTTTCTTTTTTATTAATATGACATAGGGACAATTACTTTCGTGTATAAATAACGAAGCTGATATTATTTTCATCATTGGTGACGTTGAATCTACTGAGAAACAATATGCAAATGAAGCGATTGATAGTGTTACTGTTGATCGCAAAAAACTGCCTACAGAATTAGCAAATTTGATGACAAACATAGACAAAAAACTGGAGGAGATTATGCGTTACAGGTAAACTTTTATTTTCAATTTACGTTGCATTCTTTAACCTTGCAACTCTTACAATTGATTTATTATCAGAACTAGATGTGGAATACGCAATAAAACATTATTCATAAATTTGTCTGGCACACACGAAGATAGAGAAACATGTATGGCAGCTATTTCAGATATATTAATGAATGCGATGCATTTGATGCTGGGTAAACGAGAAACTCAACATTTTTCACTTTCTGATATTGCATCATCTGCTTCTACAAGCAGAGATAATGATTTTCCAGAGCAGGTAAAATACCGTCTATGTTAAAATTTATAATTTATAACAAATTTATAAGATGATATTGGCTACGAAATATGTTTGTATAGGGAAAAGATAAGGATGCGAATGAAAATTTTGAGAAATCCTCTTCTTCGTCTACTTACTTCTTCATGTTCACCACTTACAGAATTAAGATACTCTGCAGGATAAATAATGATTTAATATTGTATATATGCATGTACAAAGTTAAATATATTTACAGAATATGAACGATAATCCAAACAATTGCCATAAGGAATTGTTTCCCACAATTCCTTTAGAAGATGCATTGGAGATATTGAATAAAATAGCACAGGCAAAGATGGATAAGATAAATCATGAATCGGTGAAGATAAAGGATGCTTATGGCAGAATACTATGTGAAGACGTACATCCGAATTGTTCCGTGCCACCGTTTAGAACTTCCTCTAAGCATGGGTACGCAGTGTCGGTAAAAGATGGAAAAGAATTGAGAAGAGTGCAGGAAGGAGAAAATGGGGTAAGTTGAATCAGACGCACCATACATGTGTGTAATATGTAACAACCTACAATTATTAAAATATTAACTAAAATTAAACAAAACTTTTTCAGTTTCCTCCGCTTCCGCTTCAACCTGGAACATGCGTATGGGTAAACAGTGGGGAACCTATTCCTGAAGGTATATATTATAAATTACATTACGCTGATTCATTTACAGTGACGAATTAATTGCCATTTCTATCCGGTTGTAGGAGCAACAGCAGTTGTACAAGTGAAGGATACAAAGCCATTAGAAGGATCCCCGAACGACGACAGCAAGTATATTGAGATAATGATTAAACCACAACACGGACAAAACATTAAGTACAAACTTAATAATTTCCATACGATAAAAATTCTATTTCTATTTACCAAAACAGTTAATTTATTTGTCTGTATATCTATTTTAAAGACCTATAGGTTTCGACATATGTGACAGAAAAAAGGATATTATTCTAAAGAAATTTACACGTATTGGCCCAGAGGAAATAGGAGTCTTGGCAGCTTCCGGGTGCAAAGAAGTTATAGTCGCTAAACGGTTGTCTATAGGTGTGTTATCCATCGGCGATAACTTACAAGAACCTGGAGAACCTTTACAACCAGGATTTACTTACGATATTAACAGAATAACTTTAATCTCATTATTAAAACATAATGGCTACTCTTCTTTGGATTTCGGAATTGTGAATGATAAGTAAGGACTTTTAAAATTTATTACGACTTTAAACATACAAGATATTTTATTTACAAATAATTATTAATTTTGTAGCTTTATAATTAATTATATATATAAGTAATCAATACATCGTAATTAATCTTTTTCCAGATCTTCGTCTATTCAGGAGAAAATCGAGGAAGCTTTAAAAAGAGTAGATATACTTGTGACGACAGGCTCTATTAATGATAAGGATTTATTAAAGAACATTTTAATGAATTACTTTAAAGCTGATGTACATTTTGGTACTTTTTATTTTTCTCATTAGTTAATAATTTATGAAAAAAAAGATATACCTCGTACAAAACTGCACCTACTTTTTTAGGTAATGTAAATATAAAACCAGGGAAATCAACGACACTAGCAAGTTGCAAGATTAAGTCTAAGATCAATTACGAGACGAAGTATTTCTTGTGTTTTTCGGGAAATCCGATGTCCGCTTTGACTGCCGCGCATCTATTCCTTTTGCCCTTTGTGAACAAGTTGCATTGCGATGCAAATACAGAACCTGCTGCAATACCAACTCAGGTAAGGTTGTTTTCACATATCGCGAGATAGAAAGATATTCCTGTTACTATATGACGTTGTAAAATTGTAGACAGACGCTTCGTTCCTTTTACATCATCGTCGTAGAATAGCGTGGACATATTTACGATGGTTCAATAAAGAAAACGTCGCAAGAGCTATCAACACAAGTAATCGCTACAAGGATACACTGTGCAATATGATAAGTTCAAACGCATTTTACCTCTTACCAACGACAGAGCAGAATGTAGAACCGCTATTTGAAACCAACAATATGAACGCGTCACTTGTTGACTATCCCAAAAATGTCTATCATTCGTTACTTGAGATGCATCTTTTAAAATAGAGAAACTAATAACGCTTTATTACTTATTTTTACTTTTATAAGTTTGAAGTCGTAAAAGTCTCATCATCACGAGTGCATGCTTCATAAAGTATATCGCGAGTTTCGCGGAAGAACCGTTAAATAAAGCTAGATTCTATAAATTTTACGTGATATCACAAGTACTATGTGTTCATTGTTTCCATCAATTCTGATTTCATTGCTTTTTATATATTATATTTTTAATTTTACAATATGTAGATTATAATGAGATAATTTCCGTTATCACATTATTTCAGAATTGAAGTTTCATACTTTTGAACCTGTTTGTATAAATATAGAATAATATAGTAATGCGCATTAATATATTAAAAATATAATAAATACGTTAAAAGCATAACAGCATATCTGGAATCCTGTTGCTTTGAGTTTTTTTTTAACGTATATAACAATAGTTGTATTTTTAATTAAAAATTTTTCCTAATACTGTAACGACTATTGTACTTATTGCAATGTATTTCTTTTAAATTTCTAATATAAAAAGGCATAAATTATTAATTCTGTCGTTATTGTACATTTCTCTCGTGTCAATTTATATTATCATTTTTTATTGTGATTATTACGAAGATTTGTCAAGATTTTAAGATATTGCATATAATTTATGCTCGATAAAATTGGCTTTCTGATTCAAAGAGAACCAACAATAAGTTATATATATATTTAAAAACAAAATCGACATTGTCGAATACAATTTCAATGCTGAGAAAGGACAATAATATAAACAGTCCCTTATCACAAAACTTTCCCGTACATCAATTCGACTGTTAGATAAAATTCGTCAGCTCAGTTGACGAACGTGGCAGATATCAAACATACGGAAGAAAAAGCAGAAATAGAGCGGCGAGTATTTTATCTCTTTTCAGGAGAAAAAACGGAAAAAGAATAAGAGATGTTACGACATCAACGAGATTACAATACACATATATGCCGTATAACGTTAATAATTTAAGAAAAATATAGTATAAAAATCAGGTGGAAGAAAAATAATTATTTTAGGCGTATTTCCTTTTTAATAAAATACTCTACTTTATATTTTTTCAATTATTCTCCTCATTATAAGAAATAACTCTTTTTTAAGTTAATAAATTACGAGCAAGACTAATTTGTTAAATTTGTAAAAAATTAAATGTTGAATTTAGCAGACGCCTGCTCGAGATAGAACTGGTTATTTGAACCATAAACGAAAAGATCCACGGCATGACATGTGTGCAAAATAAAACCGACATTGTCCAATTACAATCTCGAAATAAAGAAAAGAGAAAAAAATGTAAACAACATTCTTCATCGCGAAACTTTTCCGTGAACTATTTCGACGTCTAAGTCGAACTCAACTGACGAACGTGAGAATTGCGACATAACAATAACATACGTACGAGACGGTAAAATTCTCCGTAATTTTCAGCACATATGCTACAAAACAATATTAAGAAGCTAAAATGGTCATCAACTTTGAGATTATAATGGGTATGTACTGTATACTTCATGTATATTATATTTGCGAATTAAAGTCCTTTAAATAATTGATTATAATAAAGAATATTTTACAGAAAAGTATATGTTCCATTATTAAATATGGCGTATACATATGTGTACATATATATATATATTAATAATGGAAAATGTAATAATATATCTTGCCACAGTTTCTTTAATCATTGTCATCACTGAATCATTAAATGATTCTATATAGTACATAAATAAAATTAATTTTCACATATTTCATAATTTCATTTTGTCACGTTTAATAGTATAACAATTTCTTTGTATATATCGAACCGTATTATAATAAAAAATACGTTCGATACTCTAACTTAACTCAATATTCCTGTCGTAATTGTCAAAATTCTAATTCTGTTACGATCATTTAGTACATGAACAGGACGCAACAAAAATAGATATAGATTATAACGTTGAAAATGTGCTAGTATCTATACCTAATGCACAAATATATGACGTGACAGAGGCTAATCCTGTTGAGACTGATATAATGGTAACTACAAATATGTTGAAAATTTTCCTTGTATTATTGATCATTGAATTTATTTTGCTTATACATGATACAGGAAAAGCTACTTTGTGCGTGCGATGAAAATAACAGTGACGTTATTCTCATTATCGGTAACATCGAACCTGCAAAAAGACAATTTGTAACTGATGCGGTTAGAAATTTTAGCGATAGCAAGCAACTTTCTGAAAACGTAGTACTATCGTTATCAAAGCTAGAAACGAAACTGAACGATAATTTACCTCATAAGTAAATTTTTATCCTTACTTATGTACATATGTTAAGGTTTTTAGAATTACAACTCTTACAATTGTGATTTATTCTTAGAGCTGTATGTGGAGTACGAAATCAGTCGCTAATCATTGATTTAACTAGCTCAAACAAAAATCAAATAGAATGCCTCGCTGCAGCTGCAGATACGATGATGGAAGTCATACATTTGATATGTACGGATCAAGATGAAAACGTGCCGCTACATGACGTTGTACGTATTTCGGATAATATTTCTATAAAGCAGGTAAAATAACAGTATTTTACTGTCTATGTTAGAAGTAACAATATGCAACAAATTTTAATATTGTGCATTAAATCTCTTAATACAGGAAGAGGCTAAGAGTGCCATCAAGCGCCGTAAAAAATCCACTTCTCCGCTTGTATTATCTCCTGTACGTCAGTTAAGATACTTTCCATATTAGTGACAATGTACAAATTTTATGGTATTGTATAATACGATTAAATCTTTTTACAGAACGCAAGCACAATCAAACGCCATAAGGAATCATTTCCTATGATTTCTTTGCAAGATGCACTGCTCAAGATTCATGAAGTAATAATGGAAAGTGTAGAGGAAGCAACTTGTGAAATAGTGCAACTAAGTGATGCTTATGGCAGAATATTGTTCGAAACTGTAAAAGCCGCTTATGACTTGCCACCATTTAAAACTTCCACTAAACACGGATATGCAGTACTAGCAACTGATGGAAAAGGCTTAAGAAAGGTGCTGAACGTAGAAAATACAGTAAGTTGTACCAGACTCGTATATGTGACAACTGACACAATTAAGCTAGAGTTACGAAATTGAACTTTTTCAGTTCCCTTCGATATCGCTTGAACCTGGGAAATGCGTGTGGGTGAAAAGCGGATCGCCTATTCCCGATGGTAAATAATTGAATCATTACCGATCCATTTATAGTAAAAAATTTATTGCTGTTTCTATTCGATTGCAGGAGCAACAGCGGTTGTACAAGTGAAGGATACAAAGCCAGTAGAAATCAGCGACGACACGTATGTTGAGATAATGATTGAACCAGGATACGAACAAAATATCAGGTACGAAGCTCAATATTTCCAATAAACGCAATTTACGCAATAGATTTTATCTCATTATTAAAGCAATTAATTTATTTGCTTGTTTATCTATTCTGAAGACCTATTGGGGACGACTTAATGAAGGGAACAGTTGTCGCAATTCAAAACGCGCGTATTGGCCCAAAGGAGATAGCACTTTTGGCAGCTTCCGGTCGCAAAGATGTCCGAGTCACTAAACGTATATCCACAGGTGTGTTGTCTATTGGAAGCAACTTAGAAGAACCTGGAGAAGAACCTTTGAAACCAGGATTTGTCTATGATGTTAACCGAATAACTCTAATTTCGCTACTAAAAGAGAAGGAGTTCTATTCATTAGATTTCGGAATAGTGGATAATAAGTGAGAATCTTGGAAATTTACTCTAATTCAATATGTATACATATATGCTTATATTATAATACTCTTTATTTAATTTATTGCTATAATTAAAATACTAATTATAATCGTATATTTTTATTCCTCCATCAAATACAAATAATTCGATGAATAATAATTTATATTTCAGATTGACGCCTATACAGAATAAAATCGAAGAAGCTTTAAAAAAAGTAGATTTACTTGTGACGACAGGCTCGACTAATGATAGAGATTTATTGAAAACCGTTTTGGAGAAATGTTTTAAAGCCGATATACATTTCGGTATGTTTCTTTCTTGTCTTAATTACCAAATATATCAGAAGAGAAACATGCCTCTTGCTTAGAAACACAAAATGCATTTCTTCAGGAAATATAAATATAAAACCGGGAAAATCGACAATATTTGCAACGTGCGAGATCAATGACAAGACAAAGTATGTCTTATGCTTGTCGGGAAATCCGACATCCGCTTTCATTAGCGCGCAAATGTTCCTTATCCCGTTGGTGAACGAGTTACACTACAGTTGTGATGGGGAACAGGTCACGTTATCAGCTTGCGTAAGATTGTTTCTCGTGTATCGCGAAACGAAATGTAATGTAACACTATTACAATTTTGTAAACTTGTAGATGAAAAATCAGTATACCTTGCATAGTCGTCCTAGAGCTGCGTGGACGATTTTGGAATGGAACCAAGACGAAGAATATCCCTCGGCTTTCAGCAGGGGAAATGCCATCAGTGATAAACTAGTTAGTGCCACAGGTGCTAACGCACTTTTATTACTGCCGGCAAAAGAGTCCGCAAAGGAGTCGTCTAAAACATTTGCAACAGCCATACTTGTCAAGTTACCCAAACAAATCAATGATGACATGAAAAACTTTTGTAATGCTCAATTACCCAAGCAGGAAGAGAAAAAATAACTACAACAAAAAGGTTTGCTAAAGAATTTGGAGAAGTACCCTTACTTGTCAAGTTACCCAAAAGATTCAGAAGAGAAAAATTTTTGTAACCCTTACGAATTATAAGAGAAGCATGTACAAGATATTTTAGGATGCATCGCATTGTTTAAACGTGATCTTATTTCTAGCGAAAATGATGAGGAAGGTCATCATTCAACTTATTTGCATTTTTAATCATATAACTATTAAATATTATTTTACTTGAGCACAGCACTATCATTTGATTTTACTTCATTCTTAATATCCTACCTTTTCACCTTTCTCTATTATTATTTAGTCATAATATATAGCTATATAAAATTCATGAATAGCACCTGCTAGAACTACGTTTTATTTTGTTTTCTCCCTATTATTATAAACCAGAGCTTCAAAAATATTTTGCGTATAAGAATCTTGCATATAAAACAAATCCCTAGTGAAAAAATTTCTCATATTTTCTTAGAAATGTTATAAGAACTGAGATTTAATTATAAAAAATTCTGAAAAATGTATAATATTTCTCAGATACTTTCAGAAATAATTAAATTTTCGGAATATTTTAGTATCCGTGTATGAAAGTTTCTGTTAAATTGGGCAAATTTTCTCATTTTTTCAGATTTCTACGAAATATGTCGACGGGAAAAATCTGAAATATTTTATAAATATATTATTTTATCTGTTTTTCTGAAAAAAGTCTCAATTTGTATTAAAACATCCGAAAAATTCTGACCATTCTGAGAAAGACTTGAAATTTTATAGAAATTCTGATTAATAAGAAAAATTCTAAGACATTTTTCTACCGGGATTATTATTATCACCAGAGAGGTTCTCTCTTACTATTATTAATTAAAGAAGCCAGTCTTGGATAAATTTTTCCTTATCAATTATTGATATAACCTTATCAATTGTCGAATGAATATTTCAACCTCATCAACATTTACCTTGTGCCAGAGAGAAACCTGAGAGAGGCCATCCCGGCCTTTTTCGTCTGTTGCTGTGTTGCATTTTCCGACGCGCCGCCTGAGAAAGTGCAACTCAACTACGTCGTATCGCTCGGTAACCGCACATGGTTTGCGTCCGTGCTAATGGTTCGTGTCCGAACTAGCCAGCTGGAGGGGATATTCTGGCCGCGGCGGCCGCGCTTCCATCTTGCGTATTACAATTAATAACGAATTACGATAATTAAAATTACAAAATTAAGATTACATTCTTCAAAATTATTACGAATTTTGTATCTCATAATTTTGAAAAATATAATCGTAATTTTATAATTTTAATTTTCAGATAATTGTCAAATTTTGCAAGCAAGAAGCTATTATTTGAGCGTTGATTCAAACCTTCACATTTATGTGAAATTTATAATAATTAACGATAATTTTTAAAATGTGAAATTCTATAGATAAATAATAAACACCGTTATTATCTTAATCGTCTTCTGTTGATTTCGTATAATATATCCGGCATTAGTATCATACAATTTCAAATTTATTATACGTTTCCTTATAATTCTTTATTACAATAATTTTCTTATAAATAATGTTACATATGGAGGGTTAAAAGTCATAGTGGTGTAAGTCAAATTTTTTAAAATATTGTCTTGTATGCATAGATGCAATTTATATATTGTATAGATTGCATCTATGCACACGAGTCAATATTTTAAAAAATTTGACTTATACCACTATGGCTTTTACCCCTCCATATAATTAACAGTACGAGTTACAATCCCTTCGTGTTCCTACCTACCCAAAGTATAATATCTCTATGTATAATATGTATATATTCCCCGCCTATCCATATTTCTATATCTTCATATAGCTACCTAATATTTCATATTCCTACCATATTTTTATTTACCTAACGCGTTATTTTTGCCCACCCGAATTTATTAGTTTATTTAGTTTTATTATTATTAGTTTATTTTATCAATATTAATTAGTCGCAACCGCGATACCCGAAATTAAAGAAGTAAAGATTTTTAAAGGGAGTTTAAAAAATTTTAAGTTCGCGATTAATTGAGATTAAGCTGGAGACGTCACATTCCCGTCTCCGATTACGCGTTCCCATGTGTAAAAAATATTACCCTCCCTATATATGCACATTATACACTAAATTGGTGGTGTTCAACACCAACCTACCTTGTGTAGATCTTCTCTCCTTTGACCAGTTTGACCATACCATTTCATGGCCAAATCCATTCTGGCAAAGCCAGAAACAAGAAGAAGGAATACACCTTCCGTTGCCGTCTAATCATAGACGGCAGATGAGCGTAATGATTTTACGCTTTTTCTCACGATGCGCGAAACACGACCGCGTCGCGAAGGGCCATTTGTAACAAAATTAAATTAAGTAATTTTAAAATTACTAGCGTTCAAAATCTACTTAATATCGTATAAACTATAATTTACGCAAGTGATCATTTTCTCGATTAAGAACAAAAAAGATTTTAATTAGTTAGGAGCTGTTATTTGGAAAAAAAACCCGTTTTAATCAACCGCGTATGTAATCCGAATAAATTCG